TGACCGGTTTGTGCTAAGTTCATCACAGCTATCTTCTATCTGTAATGCTACAAGCAGCAAGGAGGATTGGTAAATGACTCCTAGGAATTTGTAAGCAAAGTCAATTTCTTAAGCAGAACAAATACTCTTCTGCAGGACTAAGACCCAACATCTATCATCTCAGAACACCCTCAACGCTTCTGCGAGCATCTGAGCAGCACAGACAGCAGTTTGGATCACCGCGGCGCCCTGCTTCACAAACTTCAAAGGATTTTACGCTTTGCCTCTTGCACGCCCTGGGAAGCTCAGCTTTGTCTAACATTTTGTAAGCACATTATTATTTACTCAGCATTTGACTCTGGTTGTAGTGGGGAAACTGGCAAACAAGCAGGACCAGCGGTGTGATCCGCGGTCTGCCAGGCTGCTGCTGTGCTGCTCACCAGCCGTCTTGTTTTGGCTGTCCCAATGTCACCCGGTGAGCAAATCGCCTGGATGTCATCTGACACTAAATATGAATAGAAAATAACCCCCGAAACTGGAAGGTGTTCAGGTACCATAGCGACAGGCACAGTTTGAGAACATAGTAGAGAAAAGTCTTGCTTAAGGGCTTCAATTAGCTTCCAACTAAGATGATTACAACATTTCCTACTGGGCAAGGAATCCTCTGAAGAGACTCAAATCGGAACACCCAGCTGCACAGACGTCCTGGCGACAAAGCGCCCGACGCCTCCTGCGCAGCTCCGCTCCCTGGCCGCCCCAGCAGCACCGGCCCCAGCGCAAGCGAACCGCGGTGCAATTCCCTCTCGCAGCGTGGCTCTCCGGTGAGACGCCAGGCTTGTCCTGCCTGCTCTCGGATGGGGACGCTGCTCCGGCGGCCGGTGCTGGCCTCCCTCAGCCGAGGGGATGGGGCTCTGCTCTCTCCAAGCAAAACAGCATTTTCTTCCCACTGCATTTTTTTTCCATGTCATTTCATGCACCTTAGAAACTTTCCGCAGGCCTCCAGCATTTTCACTCATGTTTTGCAGGGAGGAAAGCGAAGAATGAGGGCGAGGTGGCCTGCGTCACAAATGGGCTTCATCGCAGGCTCTGCCGCTCGGACCGGAGCCCACCCCGCCGCCGTGACCGCGGGGACAACTCCCTCAGCCCAGAGCACAACAGCCTACACCGCCTAACACTGAATCACCACTTAAAAGGATTATTAACTTCCAGCTGCGTTCAGCCTAATTTCCTTTGTGCAACAGTGTGTTTAATTGCAGAGATTCTAATTTACTGTTGCAGAGCACCAAGCCCAACTCTTAAGGATAAATTAAAATGACAGCTCCATGGGAAGTTTGGAATTTAACTTTCTGACTTATCTGATTTGATGCAGATACAAATATTTAAATCCAGCCAAGGAAACAAACAGTCTGTTTCAAAGAAGTTCCAGCTGGAACGGGGAGAAAGGCTTTTGCAGGAAGAGAGGCTGCAGCAGCGAGTGCACTGTCATACTCCTTGCGGGCACAGATCATCGGCTACGCAGAGCCTCGGGGCCGGCACGCCACACGCCTCCTCTGCAAGGTTCAGTTGTCTTTGTTTTTTGGGTGGTTTTTTTCCCCTTTAATGAAAAACTGCTTTGCTATTTTAAGAGTAAGAGGTTTTACTTTTCAATCTCCTTTGTACAGTTCCCCCGTTCTCTTTGCAGGAGTGAAGGTACGCACCAAGCCTGTCCGGTGAAACCCACCCAGTCTGGTGCACAATTTACTGCCAAGAAGGCAACGTTTCTTCTCTTTTCTCTTGTAATCATGACCAACTCTGCTCCTGTCTGCAGATCAGGCTGGGGTTCATCTCGCCCTGCCTGAGCTGGTAAGAGGTGCCCCAGCCCAGTCCGCAGTCCCACCTACGCTCCCTGTAACCCCCGGGGGGAGGCCAGTGTCATCCGCAGGCAGTTCATCCCATTCCCACACTGATGCACGTCATTTTTGTTGATGCAGAATGAAGTTAAAATCAAACAGAATTTAAAAAAAAAAAACAATTAATTTTGAACTCTGAAAATCCAAATCAGATTTAGCGCAACTGCATCCCATGATGCGGGTGCAGACCCACAGCAAAGCCGCTGCCAAGGAAAACGCTCTGCTTTCGGGACACTCCCTGCCGCGCGTGAACTCAAGCGAGCCACCGCCAGCGATGCTCCCGCCGCCGG